GCCCACCGCCCCCCTACCGCCCAAAACAAGTTCACCGCCCCTCAGCATCCTCCCACCGCCCGTTGAGAACCAATGTTCTAAACAGTGCAGCTGAATGGCATTCCACAGATGCAAGAAAGGCAGAGAACAAGTTCTGCTTTGCTGCTCTTATCACTACAAGGTAGGCTTGAACTTGAGCTTAAGGTTGTTTTCTATCTCCTTATACTTGCTCCTCAAATTCTGCCAGTGACAAGCCAGGTGTCTCTTCACCCATTTCATTTCATGGAGCTCCTTGAAAAGCCAAGGAACCCTCTGAGATGATTCAATGATTAAGAGACCACACAGGAAAAAGCCTAACTACACCTTGGGTCATTTCTGTTGTCTAAATGCTAATCAAGTACTTGGGAGAACTGCCTTCTAGATTGCTGGGAAATTTAAATCTTATCTTTAAATTATTCTAAATGCACTTCTGTGAATGAGTTCGAGTGTCATTCTCTATGAATAGGATTTTAAATGTTTTCTTGTCTAATTACCTGGAAGTTCTTTCTATGCAGCCATTGATTTATTGTATAAATAAATCTGTTTCTCCCTTGTTGGTAGTTATTTGAAGTCAAAGACAGTTGAGGTTACTTAATCCACTCTTTTGAGTGTCCTCTCTTTCCACATAAACTCTCTGGCTCTTTATTGGCACCAGTGCTTTCACTCCATCCCCCATCCCCAAATCCTTCATAGTCACACATAGTGGTACTAATTAAATGAATCAGTGATAGAGGTTTGGAGCAATTACTTTTATTTATTACTCATATGTGTGATTTATCATCCTTTCTTTAAAGAATGGGGTCCTAAATTAATCTACCATCAGCCTCCAAATTGGACTAGGGTAAGTCATTATTCTTCCCTAAAGCTGTCAAAAATAAGTGACCAATTTGCTAAATTTATAGATCAGCTATGCTCTTGACAAGCAGGAATATCCTGAATACTACCCGTAACTTAGATTAATTATCTTTTCCTGCTTGCCAAGTGTCTCATTTGAATATTTTAGCACAGCCATTTTTTTCAGTGATAAGCCAGGGTTACAAGGTTTTCCATTACATTTTAACCAATAACAACTGCTTGAACTAAACCTGAACTCTTTTTCTCATAGCAGCCACATTACTGCGAATACCAGGTTTTGGTTCTCGGTTTGGATGGAGCTGGAAAAAGCACCATTCTTCACTATGTGTGTAGTCCAGAAGCCAAGAAGTGCATAGCACCTACTCAAGGCTTCAACTCAATGCAGCTGCAGGCCAGCGGGCTCCAGATGGACCTTCTAGAAGGTAAGTCCTGTTTGGCAACAGGGCATAATCTGCAACACACTGCACGTGGGGCAGGGTAAGGCATAGTAATGTATGAAAGATCGGTGAGAATCTTTTTCCCTTCTATCATACCAGTCACTGGCTTTGTTCACAGAAACTACACATAACTTGATAACTAACTCAGTTTACACCATAAACTAAACCTCAAAAAGCCTAACTAAAGTTAACAATAAACAAACAACCCATTTTTTTTAACCTGACCTGTGTTAACTCGGCATTGTTTTTCTATCTTGTATAATATTGAAGGAAGGGAAAACTGTGTCTAGAAGCCTTTAGGCTTGAATTGAATTGATGTCTTCTGTGCTGGGAATCTCTTATTGCTTGCCCATTTTTGCATTTTTTGTCCTGAATAATGCCTGGGAGACTGATACAATGACTGATGCAATAGAGAACATTCTCCCTCTTATCTAAATCCACATCTGTATTTAAGGTATGGAAAATATACCCAAGATATGCTGTAAAGAAATATTTCCTCATGATTTGTTCCTCAGATGTGGGCACTGCAATTAAGCACATCTGGAGGGCATCAGAATGGGGAAGAATGCTAGTCAGTCAACTCGGGGTTTTTTTGTTCTTTGTTATATTAGTTGGTGGGAGCCAGAATCTACGCTTCTACTGGAACCAGTATCTGAGCAAAGCCCACATTTTGGTGTTTGTTGTAGACTCTGCAGATGGCCCACGCCTTCACATTGCTCGGCAGGAGCTCCACTGCCTGCTAGCTGAAGACCCTCAGCTCCCTTTGATAGTCTTAGCTAACAAACAGGTGAGTCCCTTGGTATCCTTCACCTGTGACATTCTAAAATTGTAGCCTGATATAGCTGGACTTGTGAAGAGACAGCAACGTACAATTTTAGAACTGCATGTGACTCTCAGACTCCTTTAACCACACAATCAATCTTCCTGGTTACCTTTCTGTGCTTCCAAAACCTCTAAAGTTTGCAATGATGCAACCAAAATATAACAGTAGATCACCAATCACACATTTCTCACTAAGTTCAAGAAGTGAACAAAAGAAACGGGAGGGAGGGAGGAAGGAAGGAAGAAAGGAAGAAATGGGTGGAGGGCATGGGGGCAAAACAGGAAAATAAACTCAGAAAATTTCTGATCTCTTCCATCTTCTGACCATCCTGCGCACCACAATCCTTTTGCTTTGGAAAAAGTAAGTACTGTCTCAGCCACCCAATAGTTGCCCATCCAATTCAAATGCTAGTCCTTATCCAAATGAAAGTAGATACAAAATTGTGGCATAGCTCTCTTATAAGAAAAGCCTTAAGGTTTTTAAAATAATCATTTGTATATCTATTCTAGGACAAGAATGATGCCCTGAGTATGGCAGAATTGCAAGAGGAGCTGGCCTTGCACAATCTGGACAGTCAGAGGAAATTCTTTCTCTTGCCCACAAGTGCTACTTATGCTGGGCTGGCCACTGCAAACAGTGTTCTTCATTTGAAGCACCTGCTGGTCAAACTCCTCGCCCATTCAAGCAAGATGGACTCTCTATGACTGTTCCTCTCAGCAAGAACTTGAGGGGTTTTTTCCAGCATGGTCAGGAAGCCTTTGTTCTTAAAAGCCCACTTCTAAGCATTCACCTAGAGATAATTCCCATTGTTTTAGGTAAAAAGGAAGCAAAACAAAGGAAAAGTAGGTTGCTTGGGGGGGGGGGGGTAGGGAGGACATTAAACTCAGAGACTAGCTACTGGAAGCAGCTGCTGCTCTTTTCACAATCCTAAGGAACTATAATACCAATATTTGCACTAGGACTTTACTCTTCTTTACAGGATCTACCACAGTTGACTTTATAAGTAGAAAGAGATAATGCAATGACTTTACATGGAGGTAGCCAAGACTTCTCTTTGTTGGCCTATGAAATGGACTTATTTCAAAAGCTGGGGATTAATCTTGGCCCATGAAGGACTACTTCAGCCGGGTTGCAGTTAATGGAAAGTGGTGTGCACTGAAACTGATGGCCTTTCCAGGGTTTGAGGAGTCCTTGGTGGGTTACCTTTTACTGCCGGCTAAGCACGTTGGAAAATTGTCCCTCTGAGAATAGCCTAATGCAGCAGTTTTGCAGCCAGTATTTTTTGCCAGCTGCCTTGAACTGATGCCAAAGTTACTTCAATCACCAAGACACTGCTATCCTATTATTACTTGCTGCTTCTGAAGTAACCTCTAGAGTGAGTCTAGATATTTGAGATTGGTCAAGAGAACTGTTAAATCTGAGTTACAGAGCATGAAGAGATGCACATAAGCTAGCACTCTCCAAACTAGTTGAGTTCAACTGTCAATTTCCCATGTTGGCTGAGAAGTTTGAGATGTAGCCCAACACATCCAGGTGTCCCCTGGTATGACAAAGTTGTTCAGCAGTAATGTACTTGAATATCCCTATTGGATCTCAATCCCTCAGGAGCTCTTAAAAGTTTTTATTTCTGCTCCATTGTAGAAACAAAACATATCTCTGCAAAAGCTGATACATGAACCAGTAGTGGCTGTTACAAAGTATTGATAGGTCACATTATTGGTTTGGGCTACCAATAATGCTCTCTTTAATTTCTAATGAGGAAAAAACCAGCCATTTGTCTCACCTCCACATTAAAGCATAGTTCTACATGTGCAGGAAGCCAATCCCATCTTCAGGCAACTTTTCTCTATAGATGTAATGGAGCTGTTACAAGCTTTTTCTTAAACAGGAAAATGGTGCATGTACTATTACTCTCTGACACTCCCTTTTCTCTTGGCACAACAGCATTTTTGTTTGGACTAGGCTCCTTTTGCAGAATTTACCTTCAACCATCTCCCTCCTTTATTTATCCTATTAAGAATATAGGAAACCTGGCTAATAGATCTTAGCCCTATATGCAATAGGTAATTGCTAAGAAATGGTTTACATTTTTTATCAATAAATCTTGAGTTGTAAGATGTGACTCTGTTCTACACAACTTGAGGAATCCCAGCATACAATTCAATAGGACACTGAATGGTGAGGTTATTGCCAACAGCCACTTTTCAGCAGGCATTACTTGGGATTAGAAAACTTTTCAGTCCTGTGTTCTCAGGGTGCTTCAGCAGAGAATTCAGAAGCTTCACCAATTGCAAATTCCTGTAGTAGCTGCATGAAAAGTATTACTGCAGTGTTGGTCTCTAGAGACAGAGAACCAATACTGCTTCTACTTTTAAGAAATCGAGGAAAGATGGCTTGATAGACAATCTGTAACATATCACACATTAGGAACCATCATGCCAGCATTGCCATCAGACAGGACAGTGACTTCTTCCTTCCCATGAACGAGTGCTTACTGAGAGAGTTGTCATCTCTCTGGGCTATGCCCTTACTGGAGAGTAGAGGTAGCTCTTTCTGAGCCATGTTTACTAGTTTTGAGGCTTTAATCTTGATGTCCTATTCTTATTTCTCAGAAAGGAAACTGCTATGCTGTCTTTCCAAAATGCTCACAAAGTGGACAAGTTGGTCTCAGATTCACTGCTGCTCCTTTTAGCCAACACATTCTTTCAGTATGCTCTGTTATTGACGCAAGGCTTAGACAAGTCATTTATGTCAACTGAGGTCTCTACAAGGCAAAATAATACTTTGCCACTTTAAGAATGTTATTTTGCCTTGAGGAGGCCATCAGTGAAATCTGAAAGCTGGCTAAAGCTTTCTACGCTGTGGAAGAACTCTGATGGAGAACCAAAGTTCTACCTGTAAGATATTTTCTTATCTCTCTTTAGAAAGCAATATTTTATGTAATTCAAGTGTCAGTTTTGCAGCATCAGTCACTAAAATCCATGCCAGCAGGTGAAATAATCATCTTTTCCTAATTATTGATCCATTTTTTCCTGCTGTAAAGATGCAATGAATGCTTGGTACTCCTCAGGATAGAAGCGTTTATAGACATTGATCTTCCTCTTTATTTGTTTTGGTGTATCCTGGTAATAGTTCTTCTCATCACGAGCCATAGCCTGGGAGGTAAACAGTACAACTGGGAATTAACAGAGAAGCAGCTATGTCAACATACAGCCTTAGAAGGTTCCCACACCCAGAAAGTCAGCACTGCATTGTACATCAAGTCTCAAGAAGAGGCTGTATGCAAAGCAAATGCAAGTACAACCACAGGACTGCAGTAAAAAAAGATAGATTCAGATGCTGGATGCAATTCCATACAAAATGGAGAGGCACTCAGTTACCCTCCAGATGTTTTTAACTCCACCTGCAGCAAAGGATTGCAGGAACTCCAGTACAAACCATCTGAAGGGCACTAGGTTACTTAATTCAGTTCTAATGTCTGTTTCAGAAAACTCGTGTATTTTGTCAAGCAGGAAGTACCCTACAAAGCAATATGGGCAAATAGAGGAAACCTTTTCTAAAGCTGCCTATACAAATAACGTATAACGTATCAATTGTCCTATTCTATAAATAAATACAAGACTTAACAATGATGAAAGTCATTCATATTAAAACCAATGCAAAGATCTGGATACTGTTCCTAAAACGTGTGAGGAAAATAAAAAAGATCCAGCCACATAGTTCAGAAGAGTCTCTCTGGAGAAAGCTTTAGTCAGTACTGAAAAGATCTTCCCTTTTAAATACTCGCCTGCCTGTTAGAGGAGATCTCATCCAGATAAGCTGTCTCAAAGGCATCTATAGCCCTGAAGGTTAAAACCATCACTTACAATTGGCTTTGGAACAACTGGAAGCCAGTACAGGAGGCAGAAGGACTGGCGTGATGTGGTAGTAACAGTCCTCCTCACTACAAAAATCTAGCTATTGTAACTGGGATTATCTGACATTTTCATATCATTTTCCAATGATGTATTGGAATTATCTAAAAAAATATCAGTGTGGGAATAATTACAAGATTATCTCTGCCCAAAAGAATCAGGATGTCTACCTTATAGTTTTCACTGTGATTCTGGATCATGTGTTTCACGTAGTCAATAAGGTCTCTGGAGAGGGTCTCTGACTTCTTCTCTGGAAAGCTGGCCTCATATTCTAATTCTGGGCATAAAGAAAAGAAAGCAAGAAGGCATTAAGCAAAGTTTGCACACTGTGAAACCTTTTATGGAAATGGAACTGCTAGATCCAACCAGTAGATCATGGAAGTCACCTACATTTCCTCTAGTATGAGACATGTCCAGACTTGCTAGAAAAAGATGTATTGTTTTCATAATGGCAGACACAATGTATTCATGTTAAACTCTCACCCTAATCTCTAATGATGATCTGACTGAATGTAAAATACAGTTTGTATTCAAAATCACAAACAACAACTTTTGAATAACTGCTATGTTTGGCAATAAGCAATGAAGACAAGAAAATTGCACTTAAGTGGAATAGGACTGCAAGACTTCTAGCAAAGGATTTGCCAATGAAGAATTAGATCTATATTGCACTTTGCCAATATGAAGTAATACCCACCATTTATTACATATGGCTTCCTAACAGTTTTTGTCTCTGCCCCTGGTCCATCAATTTCCATTTTCAGATCCTGTAGTTTAAAAGACACAATTCATGTTGTACAAAAAGATAGCTTAGAATTACTTTGTACTTTCTTTTTACCCCAACATTAACATTTTATTACTATGGTTAACTCATTTTAAACATTCTTTCTGAATATAATTGGATGCAGTGTTACATCACAGAATATTTCAAATTATTAAACAATGCAAATGTTGATAGCTTTTCTATAATAAGCCTTTAGCACTCTACCATTTATCTCTCAGGATAACTTGGGATGTCAGCACCAGGGGACATTAAGTGAATAAGAACAAGACAGAGATTTTTACTTCACTAACTGAAATGCTAAGAATTGGAAATAGCTCTTTCAACTATTTCAATTTTCTGAAAAGTGGGATGGGGGGACAAAAGAGGAATTTACCTCTAAAACAAAAAGCTGGGTTAATTACAGTTTAGTTACAAGGTTCTCTCTCATGAATATTTTGTATTTAATCAGAATCACCTGGAAAATTCTAGAGATACAAATGTTTTCATGATGTACTTTTCTAACCATTTATGTTATTTCCAAATATTGTCTTTCTGGAACACGTCAAGCAATAGTGCAAGCTCCCAAACTATAAACCTTGATTTACACTTCTCATTCAACTTCCAAGTGATAACTATACTTGGAATTCATATAGCACTAACCTTTGGAATGGGAATTGCCTTGTTTGGATCAACAGCCAGGCCCATTTCTGCCAAGTTCTTAGAAACTGATTTGGTGCTATCCCAAGCATGTCGGATTTGAGCACTGAAGAGAAATGGGGGGAAGAGAAATAAAAAAGTGCATCAATACTATGCCTTCTTGAAAAAGGTTCCTCCCTCTTCCAATAAGAATGACCATACTTTCACAATCAACACAAAAGATTTTGTATCCTGAAACAAAGCAACAAATGCAAGCCCTCTCCCCCAATTCAAGTGCACAAAACAGAATGGAATGTTAATTTGATGCTGAAAACCTCAAATCCATATGTGCTCCTCTCCTTCCACAACTGTAAAAGGACAAGAACTCTTTAAATGACAATCTGCTGGTATTTCAAATTTGATAAATAAATAAATAAAATAAAATAAAATTTCATGACTTATGAAATTGGCTGCCTGTGGCAGCTGTCTCAGCTCTACCTAATGGTAGGATTGATCCTGTACAATTGTCTGGTGCCTAAAAAATCTATATATTTCAGCATATCTGTCTAAAGATATTCAGAGTATCATTAAGACGCACAGTCAATATCTCTTTAGCACAATTCGGTTTCATTACTTTCTTTAAAACTTAGTCATCATCTTGAACATTTTAGCCTTTTCGCACATGAAAAAGAGTTGGAACAGCAATGATAATGAAGTGCTCTCTATGACGAGTTGAGCCATTTTCATTCTATATGCTTCTTTAATAAAATCTAAGTGCAGTATTCTTCACGTTGCCTAATGATAGCTCAGCCCTAAGCCCAGTGTGATCTAGCATTTTCCCATGGGAAATTAGCATGGAATAGACATCATAGATAACTAAGAGAATCAGAAAAGGTTCAACCAATATCCTGCATTCCATGACTGCAATCTCAATAGAGTTGAAGGAGTAAATAGGAATAGTTATCAGGAAAATGGGAGAAAATGCAGGGGTAAGGAGCAGCTAGTTAAAGTGTGCAACTAAGGAAAAGGTTAGAAAAAGTGAGAAAACGATAATGGCAAAGTGAGACACAGGGAAGTAAGAATTATAGTTTTAATTTTACATTGAGGACACGTGGTTTGTGTTGCTGCAGTTTTTATAACGCATTATTTTCCTGCCCTCGGTCACTCCAAACTATCCAGATCCCTTTAGTTGGTAACATAATATAATCCAAACAAAGAGATGTACACTCTGAGTTGTTTTTGGAACAGAACCCACGATGGCAGGTTACGAATACGACCTCGCAAACGCCACGTCTTTTAAGGAGTTAGGTCTATCGGTTTTATTTCAATGCTTGGTTAAAACAGAAGCGGCGCTGCTCTTAGAGAAAGCAGCAGGATTCGACGGCCCTCCGGAGCGAGGCTCAACCTGGGCAGACAAACCACGAACCAGCCCTCCACATTTTAGCCTAGCGTGTTAAACCAGTCCAGGCCTTATGGCTGGTTCAAGGTGTATCGTCAACCCAGAAAATTGGGCTGAATAAATTCTAAGTAAATGAAGCGTGGGCAAGCACGTCATGCAAACGCAGCCCCAACGTCTGCCCTGAACCTGGTGCCTTTCAGACATCTCAAATTACTGAGGAGAGCGGCGAGTCCTCGTATCTAAACTAACGATCGCCCCAAATAATGACCGAGCGGCCGGTTCTCCCTTTCCTGGCTACTCACCATTTTATTCGAGGCGCCGCGCGTTTGCGGAAAGCCCTGTTCAGCTTTTTGCGGTCGATGTTATAATTATATTTCTTCCGACGCTGCTTCTGCTTGGCTTTCGGCATCGTGGCGGCTCTCGAAACCAACCCGGCTGCAGCACGCGCGCCGCCCCGCAGAAACCCCTACCGTCGCAGCTCAAGAGACAGCCAGACCACTGATCGCAATGGCAGATAGGAATGGTAGTTCTACCTATTCGGTCAGGGTAGCCGAAATGCATTAAATGAACTACACTTCCCAGAATGCCAGGGCCTGTGGGCAGGGGACCATTTCCGAGATTCAGGTGGAAAGCGCGATTGGCTGGAGACGGGGCGCCTCCTTTGGTGGCGGCGGCGGAGGAAGAGTCGACGTCGCTAGAGCGAATCAAGAGGTGACCTTCGTGCGTTGGAATCCGGAGTGAGCTGCGATGGCTCAGGGCCCTCCTCCGCCGTTTGATCCCCACCGCCCCCCGGTTATCGAAGGCTTTACTCCGACTTCTTATCGGTTCAATGCCGATCACTTTGAAAGCAAGTTCGTGCGCAAGTTCCGCGAGAATCCATTTGTGCCCATCGGTGAGTCTGAACGGATATTCCGCTAGTCGAGCGGGAGCGAGCGAATTGGTGGTGTTTGGACAGCGCGACTTCTGGAAAAAGCAGTGGGGTTATTATTTCAATATTATATTATTTATTTAAAACGTTCCCTTCTGCCTGTCCTCCCCGGAGTTCTAGGCAGCGTTGAATAGTGAAAAAAGATTACTGTGAAATAAACAGCCGCAAAAACAGCCTAGCAATCAAAGATACCTAAAATGCGAAAAACAGCCGTTAATTAAAATAGCAAAAAGGAGTTTATACTAAAGCCCACCCTAAGGAGGAACGTTAAAAAGATTATTCCAGACCTTAATGGCTCTGGAGCTTAGTTAACCACCAGAAATGCCTTTTTCCTGGTGTCAACCACAGGGTCTTAAGAGTTCCTGGGAAAGTTTCTCCTGTTTAATTTTTTTCTCATCATTTAGCTCAGTGTTTTTCAAACTTGGCAATCATAAGATGTGTGGAGTTCAACTCCCAGAATTCCCCAGCCAATTCTGGAAGTTGAAGTCCACACATCTTAAAGTTGCCAAATTTGAAAAACACTGATTTAGCTGTACCCATCAAACAGCATAGATCTTATCTAAAAAGGGAAAGTAAGCATGGCTTTAAACATAACCACCAGTTCTTGAGATTTGAGGCTGTCTAGGGAAGGGTTGCTATTAAAAAACAAAAAAGCAAAACAGCCTTCTTAACAGAAGCATGAGCCATAAAAGTGCTATAAATTAAGTTTTTCCTGGTGTGTGAGAATGGAAAAGAATGTCCTACCTAAATACTTGTGTTTAGATCCATTGTTTACCTTGGGAACTGAGACTAAAGGACAATGAACCAAAATTTCTTGACAAAACTGGGATCTTTCAAAGAAAAAATTGGATGGTCTATTCAAGGGGTAGCACAAGCCTCTGTAACAAAATTTCCTTCTTTTGTCTCCTTTCCTGCCTTCTCCTCCAGGCTGCCTTGGTACAGCAGGAATTTTGACTTATGGACTCATCTGCTTTATGAGGAATAATCCCCAGAAATCCCAGAAGATGATGAGGGCCCGTGTTCTAGCCCAGGGCTTCACTGTTGCATCCCTATTACTGGGTATACTGGTTACAAACATTAAGTCATCGAAGTGAACAAACTGCTACTGTACAATCATATGAAACTATGGTCCACTAATCTGGGTAAGAACAAGCCCACCTGCCTGCCATCATACCACAGTTTGCAGAATGATATCTCAGTGCTGCTTAGGAAGTGACTATCTGGTACCAAGGAGGCCCAGTTTTTGTTTAGTAACACTGTTAATAAGTTCCAGTGATTCAAATTTGCCATTGGTGTATAACATTGTTTGTGTACCATAGCAATGTTTTAAGCCTATTTTTCTGATAAAGCGAGTAAAATTATCTGGCCTAAGTGAAGCAGATTGGAAGGCATGCCTTTATTATCTGTTAGGCAGTTGTGTGGTTAAAATGCATTGAAAGTAACACATTTATTATGGGGATTGGTGTGATGAGCCAAATATGTTGAGTGTTAAAAAAATCTTAAATTTTCTATTCTTGATGTTATTTTTTCTGAAATTTTGTCACTGCCAAGAGTGGACAGAAATCAGGAAGAGTCTGATTGTGAGCTATTAAAAACCATTGTGTTTGGTAAGACCTTCTGAGATAGTCTGAAACAATTGTTAATTGATAAAGTACTTGTCATTTGCCTCACATATAACTCATCTGCAGAACTGTAGATGACTAGATGTAAGACCCTTTGGTTGAAGTCCACCGAGCAGTGAGTTTGTTGTTGCTGTACAGTGATATCCCTCCCTGAGCTACTAAATTCCATTGGTGGGTTGGCGGTGGGGTCTCTGAGGCTCATCATCTTTGGTGATTTCAACCTTCCCCCAGGTGGCATTGAGTCAGGGGCATCTTAGAAGTTCATGGCAACTGTCAAACTGACCCAAGTCATCAAGATCGTGATGCGTATCAGAGGCCTTTGCTTTTTTTTTCAGGGCAGTTTTACTTTTTGTTTTAGGGCAGTTACTGCCTGATCTGAGAGTTGTGGACATTATCATCAGTCTATTGCTAGGAACATATCATACTCTGATTGCTTTTCATTTTGCCAATGCTGCCCCACCCCCTGCAGGGAGGTAGGATCTATTAGACTGGTGCATCCCAGTCAACTAATAAACCCTGATGAGTTGCAGAGGGAGGTTGGGCTTTTTCTTGAGGATTTGATGGACAATTTGGCTGAGACTTGGCTGGCTCCCTGAAATGGACATGTGGCAAAAGTCTTAGAACAGTTTGCACCTGTGCAGCCTCTCACCGTGCATGAACCTTGGGGTATGCTTTGATTTTCCAAGGCACTTAGGAGATGAAATATCAAAAGAGCCACCTAGAGCACCATTGGAAGAAGATGAAGAGTGAATTCAATCAAGCACACATAACAGCACTCTTCCTCTTGTTTCTAACATTGCATGAGGAAATTGGGTGAGATCATCAGTCAGTTTGGGGTCAGGTACCATCAGTTTGGTGATGATACTAAGTTGTACATCTCAACCCCAGACTAGCAGGGGTCAAGGTCTTGTACCAATGTCTGGAGGCTGTCAGGGTGTGGAAGTGGAGGAACAGATTCAGGTTCAACCCTGAAAAGACCAAGTTGCTGTAGTTGTTTGAACCATCCAGGACTGGAGATGTTCCATCTTTAGGCCTGAATGGGGATGCACTTCCTCCTTTGGGATTGTTGCACAATTTGGACTCCAAGATCCAGCTCAAGCAGGTGGCGGCTATTGCCAAGAAGATCTTTGCAGAAATTCATCTAGTACACTGATTGCACCATTTCCTGGACCTAAAGGCCTTTCAAACAAGCACTCATGCTTTAGTCACCTCTTATGGATTATTGTGATGTGCATTACATGGGACTGCCCTTGAAGACCACTCGAAAACTTCAGCTGATCCAGAATGCAACATATGCAATTATGGGCATTCCCTTGCAACACCTCTGCTTTGTGAGCTGTACTGGTTACCAGTAGGCTTCCAGGTAAATTCAAGGTGCTGATTATTACATATAAAGCCTTTCACAATAGAGAGACTGTTTTCTATACTTCTGCTCATGCTTTACGATTAAGCAGATTTGGCACGTTCCCAGCCATTAAACGGTCATCAGATGGGACCTACAAAACATGCCTTCTTGGTTGCAGCACCTGCTTTCTGGAACAATATCCACTCAGAGATTTGTTTGAGCCCCATCCAGATCTTGGGAGAGGTTCCAATAGAAGAGAATATCTGTAGCTCAGGATTGAACTCTGGAATTCTTGGTGCTCTCTAAGCTTGGTTGTTTGCTTGCAGACATTTCATTATCCAACTAGGTAATATCATAACCAGCAGTGATGATGTTACCTAGCTGGGTAATGAAACATTTGCAAGCAAACAACCAAGCTCAGAAAGCACCAAGAACACCACAATGGGGAGAGGGCATAATCTCCTATTTTTAGTCTTCTCCCCAAAGGGCTACTATGTTCAAATGAATGTAACTAAAACAAGTGACTCAAGGGAGTGGCAAGTTAGTTAGGCTACTACCATAAGCATGTTTATGTCTCCAGGATGAGTCTAATTCCATCCAAGGTTCTTGAAGGAGCTTGCAGGTATCTCAGAGCCCTTTCTTTGAGAAATCATGGAGAACAGATGTAATGCCAGAGGTTTGGAGAACAGCAAAACACCACAAGGAGGACCGTGGTAATGACTAGTCATTATATCCATACTGGGAAAACAATTGGTTTGGGAACTTTTACAGAAAAGAATGCATTGCCTGGCAGGAGCCAGCATGGGTTTAGCAAGAATAATTAGCTCAAATCAACCTGCTATGCTTTAATAGAATGACCAGCTTAGTTGTCCATTGTGTGATAGTCATAGCATACCTTGACTGTAGCAAAGAATTCAGTTAAGTATCCCATGAGATTCTGGTAGAGAAGATAGCAGAATGCAGGCTGGAATATGTTACCATTAGAAGAATAGAGTTGAACAAATTTTGTATCAAGCTGGAAGGAACAGTCAAGTGGTGTACCTCAGGGCTCTGTTCTGGACCCTATGCTGTCAACATATTTATAAATGGCTTGGATAAGGAGTTCGGATTATCAAATTTGCAAACAAGACAAAGATTTGGGGAGATGGCCAATACTTTAGGCAGGAACAAGCAAGATTTTAATTGCAAGATATATTTGAATAAATGCAAAATCCTACATAGTGATGGCTATTCCTTGAAACCATTGGCATTCCTGTATTGTATACACTTTTTAATAGAAAGGCTTTCAAGGAAAGCTATATTGGCTGAATTTATGTATCATGCTAAGCTATGGTTTATAATGGCTAGGTTATAATTATAATGGCTAGGTTCATAACAAACCATGGTTTACTGAATAAAGCTACAGTTGGATAGGTTTGCCCAGTGCACTCAAGTATAACCATGATTTACAGCTGTGCTTGCACGACATAATAAGCCAAAACTTAACAAGCTGCATTATGCTTTGTTACCCGAATGATGAATCCGACATTTTGTCCTAACCGTTTTGCTAGCAGTGTAGTCTTGTTAAATAATGCTGTTGATGCATAATCATCCTATTGTAGTATGTAATGTCTCTCAGAAAAACAAAACTCTTTGACTATTTCCTTGCATTGTAGATCAGTTCTGATAACAACTTGTGTCTGATAACTGTTACACAAATGTGTTACATGGAAGAGAAAGGTTTAGTCTGATTGTCAGAGCAGATCACTTTTCTCTATTCTGTCTATGGATGAACTCTTACAGTCAGTTGGTAAAAGCTTCTGCCACCAAAACAGCTTGAAATGATGCACTTTCCATGTCAGCCATGTGCTGGTTTGAACTATGCAGAAGCATGATAACATGCAGAGCAGAGCAGATATCCAGTATGGCTCTGTAATCTTAGGCAAGATAGGAAGGAGTCGTGTTATGTGAATAAAATGGCTAGATTACACTTCCAGGGAGACGACAGTAGTGGAAAGATTGGCTGAGCAAGCCGATTGATGTCTATAAATAATGACTTTATATTCTTTGGTGGGCTCTTCCTGAAATTAGAGCTCAGTATTCTATATTGCGTGAACTTAGCTCTCATTTTGTTGAGTCACCCAATATACTATCGCCAGCATTATTGTTCAGCATGTATGACTTGCCTTTATTGGGCAATTATTACACTGAAGTAGCTTTATCTATACTGGACTGCATGTGGCTTTTTTGTTACCTTGCAAAGCTGAGTAGCATTGAAGCTGAGCCTTGTAATATATACATATAACAAGATGTTAAATCTCTTCCCATTCAACTCAATATACCATTTACAGCTACAGTATATGCCTATTCAGGAGTAAAGGTTATGAATCAATCAAGGGTTGGACTTTGACCCATATGGTAATGACCAGGCAACTGTGCAAACTATAGCTTGCTATATTACATCATTATCTATGCAAATACTGAGTACTGGTAAGACTAAAAAAGAGAAGGAAAAGCTGTAACATTGCTCTTGTTGCCTGTTTGGAGACATGAACAACGAACACATGAGAATTCAAAGCCAAATAGCTCATACCCTATGAGGTACTGGATTCCTTCCTTCCTTCCAATATTTGCTTGATAACGACAAACACTCTTGTTGCTCTGCATCTCGGCTTTCCTATTTGCACCTAAGATGATTATGCAGGAAATTGTGATACTAACTGTAAGACAGAGGTAGTTTATAGCATTTGAAGCACAGCACAGCCATATTCTTTTTAAATCTTGTCACAATGTCTGTGTTTTAAGGGTTTATTTAAATGCTGCACATGGCAGCGCTCAGCCAACCTTGGCTGACATCAGAAAGCTAAGCAGGGTTGAACCTGGATAGTACTTGGATGCGCAACTACCGAATCATCCCAGCCTAGACTGGGAAGTTAAAAAGCGTCCCAGAAACAGGCAACAGCAAACCACTTTCGTCCTATTGTCAGGAAAACTATATGGGCACATCCACGCAGCTCACCAGAAGTCAAACTCAACTCAGACGGTCTTTATCTTTTTATATGCTCAGAACTGTGCTTCCCCTAAGGTATGCACAGGAAAGCTTCAGTTTAACTATTTGAAGGATGGGGTGTCTATTAAATCTATTAAAATAGAATTTAAGTCATTTGCATAAATTTGCATCATTTGTGTAATTATAACGGAATGAATTTCTAAAATATCCTGTAATTTTTTCCCCCCTTTTTGATTGGTGTAAAGACTAGTTTGCAAGGTTAAGAATAGAAAACTAGGAGCCTCTATGCCAGGCAATCTTGATGTACTGTGTCTTTGAAAGTTTAAGGAATTATATAGTTGGGTTCTCATACATATAAATTTAGTTTTTTAAAAAATGCTTTGTTCTGAATAACTATTCTTAATCTTCTTTGCTTCAAAATACCTTGCAGGAAACACAGTATATTAAGATTTCTTCATACATGAATCCTGATTATGGTCTTACATCAACAAATTTTGAAAAATGCATTTTGTTGCTAGATGTCTATTACTTTAGAGATCATAAATTTGGAAGCAAGAGTTATTTACAAACATAGTTAATATCATTACAAACTATCATGTTTGCAGTTTACTGCCCACCTAAGGCACATAGCAATTCGCAGCTAGTGAATAATTTGCCAGACACAATTCAATCTGTCCTGAGAAATGTGTATACTTTCTTTTAACCCAAAGTAGAATATTGTACTCTCCTTAGAAGATAAATACTAATTTATATACTTGAATAATTTTCTCTTTCATAGAATGAGGTAGAATGTGAAGGGCTTAATCCTTCCAGATAATGGTTAAAATTATTCACTTTATGTCAGTGAAAAGAAAACGCCATGACAACTTAATTCTGGATCATTTTCTGCTGAAAAAGTGCATCATAAATACACCCACAATCTAAAGGCTTGACACTGTATTAGACATCTATTTTAATCCCTAATGCAATGCTTTCTTTCATAAACTTGTGTGAAGTTTATAAGAGAGGTAGCTCACAACAGAACTTACCTTCCAGCAAAATATGAATGGGATTAATTCCTATGCCTGTAAACCCTCAATACCTGCTTGGATATATGTTTTCAAATTTACTTCCACACAGAGAATGGGTAGGCTAACAGCCCAGGTTGTCAAATAATTGCCCTCCAATTACTTTTTCAATTAAAGCATTCTGTGATTTTACTCTGTGACTCTCGAAGCAGCAGTTGGTTTAACAATGTCACAGATAATTGGGAGATTAGTTTAATTTTTGTAAGACGCAATAGCTGATCAGACTGTGATTGCTCCTAGATAACAACTTGACCATCTTCTTGGGCTATGATGAGTCAGAAAATTATCCTTAATCTGGAATTGTCCATTCACTTCAATAGCCTTGCCATCTCTTCTCACATACAGCTGAACATGAAGTCTTTGGCCTCTGATAAAATTATATTCAGTAGACAGCTGTCAAAAGAAAGCTTGTGAAAGTATTCAGTTTCTTCCACATTTCCTGACTTCACCGGTGCTCCAGAAGGGATGTATGTTGTAGGATTGGTATGAACTTTTCATGTCAAATGACATCTTGGATCCACAGAATATAAGCCAAGGACATGCAAGAGAAAGACTTGCTACAAAAGTCTTTCCATACAACGCTTTGTGCTGAATAGGTTTCAGCCCAACCCATTTTTAGCTTATGAGTAACAAAAAGCACAAGCCTTCATTAACTAAAGGAGCAACTTCTCTCATGGGACTACCTCTAGAAGATGATATGGCCCCAACCCCCGCCCCCTTTGGGTAACATTGTCAGGTCTTCAAAGGATGACTTCTAATATGCCACTTTCTGGTATGATATAACCCACATATGGAAAATGCTGAAGTTACCATAAGAGAGAAAATACTGGAAAAGGGTGTCTTCCCTGGACTAGTAACTTCAATGTATCGTGGTTCTTTCTTGAAAATGTTTTACTATGCAAAAATGATATATTGAATTTACCACGAGGACATTTTACATGTAAAATACATATGCAAACCCATGCTAAATTATGTAGTGAACACAGCCCATATATGCTGTACATACAGCTATATTGTCATGAATATTTCACCCTGCTACACAACAGCTAAGATGAAGTAACAAGCCCCGTCTTTCTAAAGCCACATTTTTGAAACTGATCTTACAGCCTTATGCTGCTGAATTGTTTTCTTCTGTGCATTTGCTCAAGTGAAGAATCTTCACCGAAGGAGCCAAGCAGCCCTTTCTAGTAAAACGTACACCCAAAGGGAAATTGGAAGAATTATTGACTCTTCTTTAATTACAGCAAAAGAGATTGCAGATCTGAGCTAGTAGTATGGAAAGGAAGAAAGACTAGGAAAAACTTTCACCATCTGACATTGCTGTTCACACAAAACTTCCTCTGGGTAGCTGGATTGGAAAACCATCATACTAGCAAGGACATGAGTTGCTGGATGCAAAGCCCTGAAAACCGAGAGGGCAAATATTCTCTGGAACAAGAGTGACATGTCTATGTCTGAAACCTTAAACATATTTACATAAGTCTTACTGCATACTGTGGCATTAAATGCCAAGAAAATGTGCACATAAATCATAGTGTTTAGTTGGGTGTGTTAGCTACATGAGTGACAACAGAAGAATAGGCTTTTGTTTGTTTAAATCTACAGCTCTCTCAGTGGAGAAGATCCAAAGAAGGTACCTTTGTAATAACATCCAGTTTAACTCTACATTGTAGCTATACATTTAGTGTATCCTTAAGCAAATATGGAATAACCTTTGAAGAGAGGAGTGAAAGTGAAGGAATCTGCTTGTATATTCTTCCTAGTCATCAGCTAAGCCTAAAGAATATCTCAAAAGGAGAAACGGCGTTCTTTTCAGTGCAAGCAGCTCTTTGTGCAGTGGTTTCATGTTTGACTGTAGCTCTTCCACAGCTTCATACAAATCTCATTTTCAGGTTTGCCAATAAAAGTGTAGCACACACATCTAGCATTACTTCAGTTTTCAGTTCACCTCTCTTCGCACATTTGCTCTTGAAGGGCTCACTTTCTAAGAGATCTCTTCAATCTGACTGTGCCCACAACGCCCCCGCACAAGTGGGAAGCGCAACTGAGTCCCAATTCTCTAACTGTTGGCCATTCCTGAGAATCATGCTCATCACTCAGGTAAAAAAAACCAGCAACAGAACTGGGACTAGAATTCTGTGCACAGCCCTAAGCTCAGTTTTAGCACTGCCTCCTAGGTCTAGTACAAATGACTGGAGAGGGGGATGATGTTTAACCTATTAAACCAGCCAGGTCTGAGAGGAGAAGATAATGGCAAGACCAGGGGACTGGGAAACTCTGAATGACCCAATACTGAAAGTGACCTTTCTTGAAGGCAGCAAGGAAGAGGGCAGTTGCCCAAGGACCACACCATTAATAAATATGTGTAAAAAGATATCAGTGCACCCTTTAAGCAAAGTAAATTCAAGGGGAGGGTTACAGGCAGCCACCCAATCTAAGTGACAGGAACATACTGAGAAGAGAGGAAGAGGCAGGGGCAGGATGCTTTTGTTCCCTCATTCTGGTGGCCTTCTAAGCCTGTGGTGCTGCTGCTAAACCTGCTGGCAAAAGAGCCACCAGCACCCTCTCTCCAGCCCCGGCCTCTTTTCAGCTAGGTTAGCGGGCCAGAGGGATCTGTTTGAGGGAGATCAACACTGAGCGCATGCGTGAGACATCCTTGGACTGCTTGCTGCTCTTGGGATTGAAGTCGCAGAGTTGGGCCACCTTCTCCCATTCAGTGCCAGCCGTCTCTTCCTTGGACTCCTTTAGGAAGGCTTCCTCTGAGGCTCTGGAGAAGGCAAGGTAGGACATTGTCAGGCCAGAAAATAAGTTCAATAGTGTTTTGCCTCCAGACAAAGTCTGGGTAAGCACAAAACATTTACTGTTGGTTAACTGAACTATGATTTATCAAACTAACCACATTTTCTGCATTCACACATTATGCTAAATATAAATTAATTAGATAGGCCTGATCTGTATCACCCAATAGATTAAAACCTGGTTGGTTAGTTTATGGTTCAGTCTATCATGTGAATACAGCCATTGAGATCTGTGAAAAAGGGAATTTCCCAGAACCTATTTTCCTTCTTTTAAGAGACATTCTGGCTAATGAATTTTGTAACACTGAGCACCAAGTAAACGCACATATTCTCACAGTATGAGGGAGTGACGTTGGGGCTGCTGTCTGTGCTTGGGAAGGGTAAGCTGCAGCCAGGCAGAAACACTTCTCACCCCATTTCCCTCATTTCCCTGACTGTCACAAGCATCCAAGCCAGCTTTCCAGTTGCCTGTGATAACTGAGCCACACCCTGGCGTTTTCAAGGACTTGCCAGCATCCAGAGGCAGCTTCAACCCACCCAGGTTCTTAGCTTAGAAAAGCAAACATTAAGACAGAGTCAGGAGGAGGTGTGTGTAGAGGGCACGGGTATAAGAGGAAAGGTGGCAAGCAAACAGCCTACAGAAGGGGAAGCAGAGGCAATGTCTGAAGATTGGCAGCTATTACAAGCAGGCAAGAGGACTATCATTCGACTGCCAGGACCACAGGTTGTGGTGAGCAGCATAACCTGGTGGGACTCCTGCCTGGACCTTGGAGGTTTGCTGGGAGCTCAGTAGCAACTAGAAGAGGAACAACCACACTGAAGCAGCACCTCATCTCAACTACTGAAAGAGTATTTGGAAAAAGGCAAAGGTTGCATGCCACTTTAAGACTTTATATATTTATAGAGACTTTATACATTTTATAGACTTTTGCTTGAACTAACCATTAAAGGGCTAAGTATAAAAGACAAATTTACATGGCAACATCACCTTGCAAGTCCTAGATGGGCGGAGAGCAGTAGTCTGTTGTTGGGGAAAGTGTGTGCTACAATAAAGCATTCTGTACAGATTTACTACACTGTAGCGTGTCCAGTCCTTGGGAAGCAAAGAACCCTCACACACAGCCATACCACCTGGGTGTGCAGATATAAAATACACTACATGCTAACTGCAGTTTACTTATTAGCCATAGTTTGGACATGGATCATCATGATCACAGGCTTGAAAAGTACTCTAGGTTTTCTGCTATCTCAGGTAACAAGAAAAATGAGTGTATGAATGAGTAACAACTGATAGGGCCAAGATATACACCTCACACTTGAAAGCAGGCTTAAGAGCAAAAATAAGCAAATCCTGGAACAGTTTGCATGGACAAACCTGAGACTAGGATGACTATATAGAACAAGCACTGAGACTTTTTGGAAGGACAGTAGGAGCATACAGTATAGGATTCAGGAACTGTTTGATATACAGCATTTAAGCAGCATCTCTCTGATATTACAGTATGAGGAACATTGCCAGACTAGTATCTGGCACTGCACGAAAACAAATAAAAAAGTAATTACAATATAGGCTTATGCAACCTATATAGGGGATGCTTATATGGCATGCTTTGGAGCACTTAGAAAGCATCATAAGCCTTATATTTAATAATAATAATTTATTAAAGTTATATGCCACCCGACTCCCAGCGACTCTGGGTGGTTTACAATTGTTAAAACATTTATAAAACAGAACAATATAAAAAATGCAAAAACAGCATAAGACAAAAGAACAACGATGGCAAGAAAATAAACCCAGAGGGTAACAGAAAGGGGCATCAATTGTCCTCTGCAAAGACCTGGGCAAAGAGCCAGGCCCTTTGAAATACCAGTAGGTATTTCTTGATAAGAAGTCTGTGGCAGAAGAAAATACACCTTTATCGCTTTGTTGCTTCTCTTCATAGACTGCTCCATCTCTCCTCTATAGTATATGTTTTTATACTTCCAACTGCTCCATCAATTTATGCCTTACCTTTTTGCTATGCCAGCAAGAAAACTGTTTATTAAGAATTAGAAACAGAAGAGACCCTTCTCCTTTATCTGCTTATCAAAAATAGTTTATATAAAATTATCAAAGGATTTCTTAGCTATGGATGATATGACACGGAGAGTAAATAACATTAATATTGTTAAATTAAATAAATTAAATAAATAATAAAGGCAGGATTAAAAAATCTAAAAAAAATTAAAGGAACATTGGGCTTCCTCAACATTAAAAGAATATTGGGAGTAAGGAAACTACACAATTAAATTATTATTCTCACACCACAGTAAATTATGAGAAGGAACTGAAGCAATTCTGGGCCTATTTTTGTGCTCACAAAATATCTAGCAAAAAAGCACACACTGCAGCTCCACATGTATGGTCCCTAGTTAAGAAAAGTTACCCCCAACCCCTAAAAAATGAGCAAGAGAGACATACACATAGCCAATCACATCTGCATCTGGCTGCTGGTAAAAGGCTTTGTCAGCAATCCTGTGGCGTGGTCCAGTAACAGGAGAAAGGGCAGAGCAGAATGGCAGCAAAGAGTTAAAGAGAGAAACACAGATTAGTAGTACCCTTAAAAGGGGAAGAGGCAGAACTAGATAGTACTTGAAAGTATTAGCAGCTTAGTGAGTTGATTAGAGGTTCATTAATCAAAGGTGTAGGAGAGAAAAAGAAAATACTTTACAGAAGTAAACTACTTGTCATAATGCCCCCACAGTGACAGACCTGGTACAGAGACAGCTAGATTCTAAGAGCTAGAATTAAGCTTCCCAAGATTACATTATTTACATGCAGCCAAAGCAACCCACAGATATTTGCAGTAGCTATTATGACTATGTTTGAAAGAGTTAAAATTTACATCCAGCAGGATGACCTCTCATTTGTTGCAGATCCAAATATAAACAAGTAGTTAAGAAACCATTTTTCCCAGCTGTACCTGTTATTGGCCTGGTTCCTCTCCATTTGTTCATTCTGCCTTATGTTCCATTCCTCCAAGTCCTTCTTAGCCTTTTCACGCCATTCCTGTTCTAACACCTTAGAAGCAGCATCTAAAACCAAGAAAGATGTATCATGAAAGATACCAAGGGGATTCCTAAGTGCCTTAGCAAGCTAACCAGCCTAAATCTAGCCTGGCATGATCCAGAGGTATAGAATTACATCTTCATCATCCCCAGCAAAAGAGAGCTACCCTGGATAGGTGTGGTCATTAAGAGCTGGAAGTCATATGCTCAGCTTAAGAAGAAGGTATTGGTCTTCATTTATTGGAAGGGAGGCTGTTAGGAGCTGTGGATGACAAGGACAAAGACGTAGTCTGACATCTACATGGAATTTACAGATCAGAAAGCGCAAACGCTACAGTGATTAGTGAGGAGAAAAAAAATGCTGATTAGCTGTATCACTACACCATGAGGTATTTATTTAGCTGATGCTAGAAGTAAAACTTGAAGTAAAATATCTCATTATTATTTCTTATTCTATAATAATAATAATATTTTAATTTCTCATCATCTTCCTGGTTATATTTATATTCACTGCCTCCACTCTGCTCATCTATTGAAACCCTCTTCAATTCTGCTGCCCAATCTCCAGTTTATACTTTATTTTTGTATCATGAACCCTTTTCCTTTACAAAAATATCAACAGCGTCCTTTGCATTTTCTTTAAACTCTTTAAGGTAGCCTTTCTGCTGGCTAAATCTCTTCTCCATCATCTTCTTTCCTGCCCTACAAAAATTTTCCTTATACATGCAATTCTTATAGATGCTACATCTTTAAATTGTAATTTACATGACTATAGTTATATTTGAACTCCAGCTCAATTCCTGAGCAAATATTTTTATCCCCACCCAGTTCTTGCAGTCTCTTTTTCTGTTCCTCTCGCCATTTGCGAATGCTCTCAGGCTCCTGCGTCAGCCGGTCAGCTCTGGCAATGGCTGCATAGGCATCTGTAGGTCCATTGGATTCCTTTAGACAAAAGAAACCATGAGTGAAATATTGGTCTCCCCCAACCAGGAATGATTAGGAAGTAGAACACAGGAGTCTCCAATCTTGCCAAAATGTCTTGCATAAGATTATAGGCAAGTCCTAATCCTAGTTTGAGCATGAAACTGAGCAAACTCAGGGAGGCAGTGAAGGACAGGAAGGCCTGGCGCGATATGGTTCACGAAGAGTCGGATACGACTTAACGAATGAACAACAATCCTAGTTGATTGGGGGCTTATTAAGTATAATCCAGTAGGCATAAGTTATTTTCTCCTGAAGTTAATTCAAAGAACAAGGTATAGAATACTGACAATATGAGGATAGTCTGAGGACTCCCTCATGCAGAAACTAGCACAACTAGCTGCAATCTTATAAAAATACACTTTTCAAAGTTACATATTCAAGCTGGGAAATGAACATCTTCATTAGCCATGTACTTGACCTCTCTTAACCAACTTGCCTTGCCATTCACTGCCAACATGATTTTCATATCTGTGCTCCAGGTGAGTTCCTGAAATTCTAAGGGGTAATAGCTGTAAGTCAGCCTTTGTGATATAATTCTTATGATGTCACAATCTTTAAAGGGCCAATGTCTTGCTGCAATCTTACTCTGACCAGAACCAGAGGTTGATTTCAGTTGAGTTTTAAAACTGCCATTTGTGTCAACAGTTGTCATAGCAAGAACCATTTTCATAGCTTCAAGCTGAAATCACAAGGGAAATGCTAAAGGTGGTCATCTTCATGTAAAGGGCAGTAATGGTAATAATTAAATAAACCAGCTGCAAAATTTGAGAAGGTCCTCAATATAGATTCTGTTTATAGACCACAATTTTTAAAATGTTGGGTCCAGCATCAGGTTCCCCAGTTATTTCCAGAAATCTGTGCTGTGGCTTGTTTTTACATAATCAGCAGAATGACCCTATGAACAATCTTTCCACCTGATCTGGAATTAACCAAAAGGCTAGCTAGTTTTCTTCTGCACCTGTTACTGCACCTTCCAGTATAAAAGAGTAACTGAGATCTATACAATGTAGGTAGGAATACTGTTTCTGGATCTACTGCTTCAGATGGGGCTAGATCAGGTTCACCTACTACTTCAGGTTGGACTAGGTACTTTATGGTGATGAATTGTCATCTGGAGTTGCCTTGTCTGGAGACGAGTAGAAGAAAATGAGAGGGAGGCAAATTGCTCAGCCCAAAAAAGGAAACTCTGAGGACTGGGGAAGGTGGTTGTTTGGGAGAGGGGAGGAAGAGAAAAAGAAGAGGGGAATGTGCAGTTAGAAAGCTCTATTTCTATAATACTGCTGCTTGTAGTGTTGAACATAGCCCAACTGACTCCTCAGTAAGCTAAATTATCTCCAATATAATTACATAACTCTAAATCAAACCAAGAAGAAGCCAAAAGTTCCAGTAATAGCCACTGCCTTTCCATCCACCTCAGCCGACAAGAGGTTGTCATATATCATGCTGTAGAATGGTACTCCATGAAAGATTATGCCTCTGATCCTCCTTAGTAGCTCATTTAAATGATTTCCCATACACAATATTGTAAATGTGCTATGAAACTGTGGGATAATATCAGAAGATATTAAAGGATTTTACCTAAAAAACCTGAAATGTGTACTGTACAATTCTACTAGCATGATAGGGTTCCTCTACAATATAAAAAAGGCACAAAACTGTTATTTGGTAATCATACATTGGTATGCAGCTTATTTAGTGCAATCAGAGCATTGCCTCAAAGAAACTATTGTCTTTTTGGAATATCTAAGCTATTCCAAGATAGGAGGGAAAAGTAGATGAAATCACACAGAAAGATGCTTTCTGGGTGGAAGCTGGAGTAAATAATATAGGATATGCCTGCAATTTTCAGATCAGCATTCTTTCATCCAATACAAAGAAACAATGCTAGCTTATTTACATTTGTCAATCTCACTTGTTCCCATTTGTGAAGTGCTTGATATAACCAAAAGACAGAATTATTGCAGTGGAATTTACACAGCTAAATTCTTTATCTGATGGAAAGTAACGTAGCAGTTCAATTTCCTGGGAGTTAGTCCCACTAAATTAAATGGACTTAGTGCTAAATAAACATACACAGGATTGCACTGATTCATGTTTCCCTCAATAGAAACAAAGAAAAGGAAAAACTGAAGATGCCTCCTTGGGTCTGGCAGAATGCTACTGTCTGCCTTTTCCAATCTGGTATCTTCCAGACTGGTTAGACTTTATCTTTGGCCATGCCTGCTGAAAATTAAGGAAGCAGAGATATGACTCACCTAGAAGGTTGTATACCGTGTGCACAATTATTAGGCAAGTGAGTATTTTGACCATATCATCATTTTTATGCATATTTTCCACCTCCAAGCTGT